AGTTGTCTTATAGTAAAAAGATGAAGAAGTTATAAGAGATTTAAGAAAACGAGTTTTTATATGAAATCATGGAATAGAGTTGATAAGTTGAATTTTAAGTTGAATTTGACTTGTCATCTATGAGAATAAGAAGATACAAGTGTTAGAATTGTATTTAGAACATGTTGAAATTTGAGTATGATTCTTGAATTACGTATGAAGGATAGGATTTTGAAGTTATAGATGATTTTCATGGATATAAGTTGGTTTAAGTAATGGTAGTTGAGTTTAATGACATGATAGGGTTTTAAAATAGAAGAATTAAGTGAATAATTGATGATTTTCGGGGTTAAAATACAATTTCTGGGTAGAGGGAACCGATACCCTATGAAAGGAATCGATTCCCCCTCTTGGACAAAAGTTTCCAGAATGTCTAGGGGGTACAGATTCCCCTGGGGGTATCGATTCCCCGGGAACAGATTCCCCTGGGGGGTATCGATTCCCCCCTAAATAAAAAATGGAATTTGATTCATTAAACTGGTTTAATTTATTAACATCAAGTTTAAAGTTTAGGCTTCTGATAGTTGTTTTGAAATGATATATTTATGTAGATATTGAGCCTAAACAAGTTCCAGAGTAATCAAAGGATTATAATCGAATCAAAGCAAGGCTAAGGTGAGTGCAATTTAATTTGTACTTATATTATTGAATAAACATTGGCTTGCGATGAGCTAGTGATGGAGTTACTATGGTAAGATGTAACTCCTAAAATGTGATTTGATTGGTAATCTATGTGATGATTTGTGTGATTATGGGATATGCGTTAAAAGACAATGATCTAAATGACTACATGAATCATGTGGTATAAGTTATGTGATTACATGTATGTATTAATACATATTGCTTGCATTACATGTTAATGTGATTATGAATAGGTAGAAAGGAAACAAATGATATAATAATCTATTATAAGATATATGATATGAAAATATGATAGTGAGCTATGTGAAAGAACTATGAGATATTTGAGTTATATGGAAAATATATGCGAACAAGATATGACATCTATGTTTATATGAAGCAATGCAAGGTGATATGAGCTATATGAGATATGAATATAAAATCATATGAGAAGTGAAAAGAATTACATGAAAATAGACTAAGTGATTACATGTATATGTGAAAGAAGCTATGAGCTTATATGAATATGTGATATGAATGAAGCTATATGATACGATCTATGTGATTACATGCACATATGATATATGTTATATGAAATGACATATGAATAGGCAATACGTGATACATGTGATATGATATGGAATACATGGTTACACATACATGTGGTATGTGACAGAAGAGAAATGACAAGTAATGTGAACTGTTAAATGATAATGCCCATGTTATGTGATATGAGAGCTAGGGTATAGTTGGCATGCCAAGGGTTGAGGATTTACCTATGTTCTTCGGGATATATGGACTGTTTACCTATGTTCTTCGAGACATATGGACTATTTACCTATGTTCTTCGGGGCATATGGACTGTTTACCTATGTTCTTCGGGGCATATGGACTGTTTACCTATGTTCTTCGGGACATATGGACTGATTACCTAGGTTCTTCGGAATCTATGGACTGGTCCTTCGGGACATTGATCGAGCTGTGGTGACAGCATATGTGTGCACAACCTCAATGTACTCACATACCTTAAGTTCTCACTAGTGTACATGGGCTAATAAAGTGATTAAACAAGCATACTGAATGTGATATGTATACGATGGATTTATAAATGGTTATCAAAGGTAAGTGGTTTGAAATGTGTTACATGAACCATATGATGTTATGTGTGTTTCTTAATGATAATGATAGAGATTATGATAATGATGGTATATGTTTATGTATGCTTTATGTTATATGAAATATTATATGTTTTATATGCCTCACTAAGTCATCGACTTAGCGTGTGATTGTTTCACACGTAGGTTTGGAAAGCGAAAAGAAAAGTAAAGAGGAACAAGACAGGTCAGTTCTCCTTACCGAATGTCAGATCAGAAGAGAGGTGAATAATATGTATTTTTGTATATAAAGTTCTAGTTGGCATGTAATCAAAAGAATATATTGTATAAGCTCTGAATAATTTTGTAAATGTTTTGAATAATTTAAATGTTATAAAAGTTTTTAAATTACTCACTATTTTATACGAATAAATTTTTTGAAAAGTCAATGTGACACTTCGGACTCGTATCCTGGTCGGATACGGGTTGGGGGTGTTACAATTAACCTCATTCTGCAAGAATGAAACAATCTCGCGTAGAGCGGCAACCTCATCACATAAGGTAGATACCTCACCGCGTAGCGCACCATTGTCATCGCGTAAAAAAATCCACCTCACCACGTAAAGATCGAACCTCATCACGCCATGCACCATTATCTTCACGTAAAGTACCAACCTCATGACGCAAAGCACCAACCTCATGACGCAAAGCACCGACCTCATCACGTAATTCCCCTAACTCATCCCGTGGAGGTGGAGAACAGGGAGATGGAGATAGACGGAGCCTCTTTGCCGGTCGCCTATCATGAGGTGATGGTGGAGAAGAGGCTTGATAATGTGATGGAATGGGTGATGGTGGAGGTGGAGAAGAGGCTTGACCAGGTGTCGAGCTATAGAATCGGCCCGATGGGATGATGGCTCTCGAAGTGGGGGGTGCTCATCATCTGTCCCATCAAAAAACCGCTTACTAGCTTGCCACCAATCAGTGGCAAGCTCAGCATCTGAGGGTGTCAGCCTCTGTAATGGGTAGTTGGCCTCCTAACAATATAAAAGCTCAAACAAAGTTAAACGTGTACTAGTAATAACTTGTTTATATATGGTAGTATTTGTGTGTTAACTTACATCATTAATCGTTGTATATGGGAGTAAGTCTTCTCAATCCAACATGCGTTTCATCTTCCAGGTAATAGCCCTAGAAATATCATTTGATCTTTTTATCGCATATGTCCGCATGTTGGGGAAAGCCTCAAATATCCAAATCTACAAACAATATAATACACAAACATTAGTAATTGTTAAATAATTAATTATAATTTTGGAAACATTATATAGAAATTCTTACCTTAAAGGCCCAAGTAAAGCCTGTCAAAGTGTATTTAGAACCATCGCCCCGTAAACTTTTTCGGTCCTCGAATGCAGACGACAACTTCTTCCAGGTAGCTTTCCATATATATGAACCCCACGGAAACATGTTCCATGCATTTAGGTCCTCTACCAATAATATTAGGTCCTCGGAGATTGGTTGTCTGCCTTCTTTGCGTAAAAAGCCGGCATACAAAAGTAGTAAATGGCATACTCGGATAACATCAAGGTCATCCATTCGAGTAAAACCATCTTTATCAAATAATCTCTTCAAGTCGTCGACATGTATACTCGGCTTCGACTTTGCCAGCTCAGGAAAAACCCGATATAACCATGATGGGCGGGCGATATGACTAGTGTACCGACCTACATCATCGTGTCCGAAGCGTAGACCGGTGATTAAGCAAAACTCCTCCCGCCCAAAACAAGTATACGCAGGTGCCAGAGGAAAATGAAACCATATCTCTTCATCACCACGTTGTACCCCCTCGGGTAGATCGTTAGTCATGGTCTGAAGAAACAAATGTGTCAACATAGCATCTCCACCCGGATGTTGTACTTTCAGCCATGGCCCGAAGCAAGTATCCTCAAATAATTTTCTTTGTAGAGGTGTAAGCGTCGACGCAATTTTAGTGGCTATGCTTAATTTATTCCTTAAGGTCAATTGAGCCGAAAAAAATTTCTACAAAAACAATAAACATACCAAGTTAGATATACCAAAAACTACAAATTATAGACTACAAACAGACATGATATTAAACAGTGCAAACAAAGCCAAATATGTTTCAAACTAGCACGATATTCACCCAAGTCATTATTCCATCATAGTTCACAAAATGCATTAGATAACATTCCAGAAGTAAGCACTTATATAAACATTTAAAAGGACAACATATATGTTTAGTGCATGTTCAAGGACAACATAAAGAGTAGTAGTTTATTCTTGAAACTTAAATTAGCAACACTGTGATGTTAGTATTTGTCTTTGTTTTTTTGGTTGAAGTAATACAATTCATTCAAGTTTCAATTTGGCGAATAAAAGAAGTTTCTGAAACTTAAATTCGCAACGCGATTTTAGTTTCGCGTTGCGATTTTTATTTTCGCGTTGCGAATTTGGTGTTGCGATTTAGGGTTTCTTCAACAAAAAGACAAAACAAAGACAAATACTAACTTCACAAGGTTAAAGACTAAACAGTTTAATAATATTGGCAGCAACCGAATGAATTTAGCAATCTCAGTGAAATGGTTAATCTAATAATAATACAAAAATTTCAAAATAAAAATAAGAGATTAAAAAAACTAACCCTCGGTGGTTGATTTTTCATTTCTGACCGTGAATAGTTATGAGGGTTGATCTGAGAGATGGAGATAGACGGATTTCGTCGGAAATGGGGACGGATTTCGTCGGAAATGGGGACGGATTTCGTCGGAGATGGGGACGAATGTCGCCGTAGAGAGTGAGAGATAGAGATGAGACTGAGTTGTGCTTTAGGGTTTTAGGTTAAAGATGATTTGCGATAATACTATTTACATTTGTGTTGCGAAATTAATATTGTGTTTCGCGTAAAAACATTTAACTTTCGCGTTGCGATTGCGAATTTGGAAAATCGCAATACGATTTACATATTTGCATTGCGAAATTAGAAACTGGATTGCGAAATTGTAATTCGTGTTGCGAATTTGAAATCGCGTTGTGAATTTGTTGGTCATTTTGACAAATATAAAAAAAATTGATTAAATTCGTATATTATAAGACATTTTTGGTCACTGAAATTATTTTCTCTTATAATTATCTCGTATTATTCTAAAAAAATATCAAATTAAACGATAAATGTTCTATGGACAGCCAATGGCCTCTAGTTTCATCCCGCTCATCATTCATACTCGAACTGAAATTGTTTTTACTCTAAAAAAACGCACCAGGACAATACGAACCTCGTTTGTGCCAATACCAAATGGATGATCCCTATCAGCTGAACATAACAATATCGTGGGGGAACGGCTTGGTTGGATTTGGTGGCCACGCCAGAAAGGGTAAAAAATTGTTCTCAACTACTGTAGCCCCCATGATTCAAAATATTTTACATGAATATATTATGGAAAATAAAATCTGTTTACCACTTTAATAATTAAAGCTTTTAATTAAGATTGACTCAAAGTTGAAAAAACATTAATCAAAATATCTTTTGCCTTTATAAGGAAACAGAAGAGACAAGGAAGAGATTTGCAGTTGAAGTAGCAGTGGTTTGCTTACAGAAGACACAATAACCCTCAGGGAAGTTAGGCCAAAGGTTAGTTTTCCTCCTGGTTCGCCTCTTTCTTTTCACTTGGAATCAAAGCAAAGGTTATTTTTTTCCCCAATGGATTTTACTTTTCATCTCCCCTTTGTACCCCCCTTCTATATATCTCCTTCAATACCCACCTGAGTTTTTCAGTTTTTGTATATGTTGCTTGCTTTTTTGGGAGGTGAATTCTTTATAAAAGTGTGGGCCTTTGTTAGTTTTTACCGGTTGCTTTGCTATCTGGAGATGGGTTTTTTTATTAGTCTTGATTTGGTGGGTTAAGAGTTTGGTTAGTGCCTGCAGATATGCAAGCCTACCTGGTATTTGTTTTATGAACTAGCGGATCATCATATATTGATGATCATCAGTTTCATATCATTTGTTCTAAAGGATTGCATCTAATTGTTGGTACCATGTAAATTTTGTTTGAGAGTTAGAAATTTGGAATCATGATACCAGATACTCTTTTCAACCAGATTCAATGTGTAATTCAAGCACACCAGTTCCGTTTTCATCAAATCCTCTTGGGGAAGAACATAGGATTGCTTTAGGTACACGTAATAGGTTTCCTCGTGACCCATCTTCTTCTATCTTGTTAAAAAACCGCGATGAGGATATCTAGGGCGAGGTGGTTTAACTTCTTGAGAAGAGTTTTTCATTACCAAAATGGATCAAGGTCTGATCTTGGATCCAACCCTTTTAATTCCAGTACTTGGATGATGCTGGAGTTCTTGGCTTTGGTTATTCAAATAAGCATCATTTCATTCACTTTGGCTATTTCAAAGGAAGAGAGGCCTATTTGGCCTATGAGAATGTGGATTGTTGGATATGATATTGGTTGTCTCCTTAGTTTGTTACTTCTTTATGGGAGTTATCATCATCTTCACCTATCTCAAGCAGATCGTTTTGGCCTTTCCGACATCGAACAACAAAGAACAAATGAAGAATCAAGGTAAGCTTCTATCACTTGATCCAATCTTGCTGTTGTCCTTCATGGTTTCATAACATAATGTAAGGTTTAATGTTGTCGAAATAATGAGTTGATCAATAGAAAATTTGAGACAAACCAAGCATCAGGGAAAGTTTTAAACTTCTTTGTTTGTATATTAATGGAGATTATAGTACGCTCAGGAGCTCACATTTGATGAATAGATACCGGACTTCACTAGAGCTGTTCTTTGCAATATGGTTTGTAATGGGAAATGTCTGGGTGTTTGATTCTCGATTTCGATCCTTCCATCGAGCTCCGAATCTCCACGTACTTTGTATCTCATTGTTAGGTTGGAATGCTCTGAGCTACTCTTTCCCATTCCTGTTGTTCCTACTCCTATGTTGTTGTGTACCACTTATCAGCAGCCTCCTAGGTTACAACATGAACATGGGTTCTATCGACAGAGGAGCATCTGATGATCAGATCTCCAGGCTGCCTAGTTGGAGATACAAAGAAATCAACTCCAGCTTAGAGCTCGATCATGATTCGGACTGCTATACAAGCCGGGCAAATGAAGATCCGGTAAGTCATATATATTTACCATAATTTATGCTCAGTTCTAGCTTTTCTTTCATCAGAAGGAATTGTTTCAAAGAAAATTAGGTTAATCTTGGAGGCTAATGGGTCTTTTTCTTTGTTTATTGGGGTTGAATTTGAAAAGGAGTGCTGCATTTGCCTAGCCAATTATAAAGACAAAGAAGAAGTGAGGCAGTTGCCATGTTCCCACATATTTCACCTCAAGTGTGGATCAATGGCTCCGAATTATATCTTGCTGTCCTCTTTGCAGACGACAACTGTACACATAGACAAAGAAAGATAAAAACTATTACTTGGATTTTAAATACAAGTACGTTCCAACATTTTAAGAAGAACGAAGAGTTGGAACAACGTAAGAAATAAAAAAAAAGTTCTTTTTGGCAATATTTACCAAAGGTTACTTGAGTGAGTTATTTGTGCAGTAATCCTCACCAGTAACCAAAAACTTACTGATGTAATGTGTACTCCGGATGAGAACATTGAAACAGAGTACCTCTATTTAATTACATTCAAGATTTAATATCAGTAATTTTATACATTTGAAGGGTAGAATTTGAAGTTCATGCATATTTTTACCCTATTAACCTTGGTAGTTCTTTCTTGAACAATCAATAATTATTCTAATAGTAAGTAAAACACATAACAATAGTAGAACTTACACCAAGAAGTGTTGGTACAAGTAGTTGAGATTAAAAAATTTGAGCTGGTAAGGCCAAGTTCGAATCTTACTATCGTCACTCTCGGTAGACAATCTGTAAATTCTTATGTAAATCTCAATTAGATCTAAGGTATACTTTGACCTTTAGACTGAAGGAATCACTCTTGATCTAAACTTTTATGTAAAAAAAAAAACGGTAGAGCTTACTCCCACTAAATAATAGTAACAATAATCATTATATGATTTGTTGTAATCATATAAATTACTACATGTTATGCAATTTAAGCTTCGTTTGTAGTGTGATAACTTTTCAATTCAAAATTTATTCTTTATGTTAAATTTTTAACGGCGACTGATTAAAATGAAATTAAAATTAAACGTTAAATATGATTTTAAAATAAAAAAGTAATTGAAGGACTAAAATGAAATAAAAGTATAGCTGGATACTAAATAAGTAGTTTACCTAAAATATGTTTTAAAACTAATTGATTAACCTTGTCAATTTATGTTAAGCTAATTATTTGTATTCAAACCTTTAATATGTTCATTTACTTTTAAAAGAATATTTACATTTCATATTTTAATATTAATTAAGATTAAAACTATGATATAACATAAATTTGATTGATTTTACATTTTTTATTAAATATAAAAAAATAATATTTTGATATTAAAATAACTAAAATTGAATCTAACTGATTAAATTACAAATTACCATGATACCAATAAAAAAAATTCTAGGTGAATCAATAATACAATACGGCGCCGTATTAGTTATCCTTGTCCAGACGAGTGACGAAGCTGCTCTTGTCAAACAAAAAGCAACCTCCCTATCAAAGTAACAGCATCAGTTGCCACGTATTGTCAAATTTTGGTAAGTATCTAATTACTATTTATTTATATATACATTTTTATTTTCAATTAATTAATTAAAAATATTCTATAATTCTTTTCATGTCTGCGTATATCTAAATCATTGAAATCTCCAGCTCTCTCAATCGCCATCTCTATTTTAAGTCACGGCCGGTTTCACAGATTTCCCATACTATACCCATTCACTCTCCCCAAGAAGAGGTAATAATTAACATATTTTCGGTTCCATAAATTCGTTTATTCCCTCTGTTTGTTTTCCGAGAAAATTGAGGAGAACGTATTTTGAAATCTTTGTTAGCTGAAAGTAAATAGTTTAATTTATAGTTTTTTCATGCTTTCGGTAGATCTTGATCAGGTTTGGTTAGATTGGATCCTTATCATGTTCAATTTGTTATGAAGGCGTGATTTTTTAGGTTTGAATTGGGCTTCTTGATATTTTTCTTTTCTTTTCTTTATTGGAAATTTCTGTTCAATATATATGCATATCATTCCAAGTTCTAACTGTTGCAATTTCTTGAGAAAAATAAAGCATAGTGATTTGTGATCAACCTGGACGTATACGAAATTATTTAATTGTATGATTATTCTTATTTTCCCTCTCGTGTTCTGTATTTCTTGGTTCTTGAATTTGCTGTATGCATTATCTGATTGTATTGATTATATGTAATGAGTGAAAAGGAAACATTACATAGTTTTCCTCAGATATTTATTGGTTTCATTTGTGCAACAGATATTGTTTTGAGTTTGAGGACGCTAAGCACACTGATTTTCACAAATCAGGCTCGGTTTTTCCGGTTTGAAGCATACAGATTTTGGTTGAAATCTTGGTTTCATGTTGCAGTGCTTAGACGGATTGAAGCATTTATTTGCTTCTGTATTGCACTGTTGTGATATTGATTTGTACAAGCAACCCAGAGGTCTCGGGGATCCTGAACTTCTCGCAAGGGAGACAGTTTGTATGTTATCAATTTCCGTTTTCTTTTCTTCTTAGGTTATACTGTTTAGCTTTTACCCTACTATTAGAACGATAGTGTCAATGCTTTTGCATAATTTAACGTCTTCTTCGGACTTTGCCTACGTTAATTTGGTAATTCATTTTACTGGAATTTGTTGTTTTGCTCACCTTGATGCAGTTAGTGTAAGTGAAATAGAAGCACTTTATGAACTCTTCAAGAAGATAAGCAGTGCGGTGATAGATGATGGGCTGATTAACAAGGTTTCTTTAATTACTTTTTTTGTACATTTTATTGTGAATCAATACATTTTGTTATGTTTGTCAAGTTTTTGAACTTGGATGGTCCTTTTAGTAATTGACTTTTGTTTATATTCTATTGCAGGAGGAGTTTCAACTGGCCTTATTCAAAACAAACAAAAAGGAGAGCTTGTTTGCTGATCGGGTAATTTTTTTTATCTAATGTTAATTATTATTTTATTTTCATTATTGATAAAAGAATTCTTGTCGATCTCATCATGCCAGTTATTCCAGTTATTCGTAGTATTTTAGCACAAATTATTAGCTTCTTGTCTTGAGCTACTTTTGACGAATTTCTGATTTCACTGCAGGTTTTTGACTTGTTTGATACAAAGCATAATGGAATTCTAGGTTTTGAAGAGTTTGCTCGTGCTCTTTCTGTCTTTCATCCAAATGCTCCTATTGACGATAAGATTGAGTGTATGTGCCCAATATTTTAAGTTGTCTGCAACAAGTCCTCTATTTGCGTATTTGGTCATAACATTAATTTTGTTAACTTGGTGGTTGTATCTAGATAACTAGAAATAAAATTATGAACTTAAGCATGTCTGCTTCCAGTAACTAAGTGCTTCACCTTCTCTCAATTATTATATTTTTTTCATCTGCAGTCTCTTTTCAACTATATGATCTCAAGCAGCAAGGTTACATTGAGAGACAGGAGGTACGTACTGCGATTTTGATTTGATCATTTTTGTTTGTTCCTTTTTCTCCATTTCTCACTTTATATATATATTTTTCATTTATAGGTCAAGCAAATGGTAGTGGCCACACTTGCTGAGTCTGGCATGAACCTTTCAGATGATGTTATAGAAAGTATAATTGACAAGGTAGTAACTTAAATCTGATTTAATTGAAGCTGTATTTCTTGTAATTTTTGTTTTCTTCGGTCTAGTTTCTACATGTTAAGTTTCGGATCCTTTTGACAGACTTTTGAGGAAGCTGATACAAAACATGATGGGAGGATTGATAAGGAAGAGTGGCGAAGTTTAGTTTTGCGACATCCATTCCTTCTGAAAAATATGACCCTGCAATACCTCAAGTAAGTTCCAAATATACTCTGTAGTAAGCAAAGTTATCAGCTGTGTTATCGTAAAAGATTTACGGATAGTGATGTGTGCTCAACTGCAACTATTCTTTGCATGTTTCATCGAGCAGAGATATCACCACAACATTCCCGAGCTTTGTTTTCCACTCACAAGTCGATGATACCTGAAATCAGCAATTGGGTTAAAGCTTTCATTTGGCCTTATTTCATACGGGATGTGGTGGCAGATTCAAATATAAATCGGAAAAGGGAGTGAGCCTCTGTAAGGTTTTGGTTCATTGGTTAATTTTCGTCTTCTTGTGTGCGTACATATTCAACCATTGAATATTCTGTTGGTGGTTCTTCTTAGTGATTTTGGTTAATTTCAGATGGTCGTAATGTAAAAAAGAACTGTGGGGCCATTTGAAAAGAAATTTTCAATTTCTATTCTGGAATATGGAAATCTTTGTCTGAGAATGTAAAAGTTGAATAAGGCAAATAAGCAAATCAGTAGCAGTTTTAGTGAGATTCCAACTTTTTTGTTCAAGATCTTTTTGGGGGTTTTATCATGTTTGGAAAAAATTATGAGCTCGACTTTGGTTATACTTATATCTATAGAATCGATCTTCTAATTTGCCAACCGGGAGTAGTTCCATGGTTTTTGTTGAAAAGATCCATTGATCTAGCGGTCTGTCTATTAGCCTATTGGATTGAAATGATGAATGCTTCCAGTTGTCTGAACTTCAGTCATGAAGGACTTGTTAACCAAACCAAAGCCGACGAGATGCCACAACCTCAGAACCTTAATGTAAGTTTCCATGAAAAACAGACCCGAATCTTCACCGAGCTTGTTGCGAAAACTCTTGGTAACATTCTTCAACTCTTCTTAAGAGAATCTAGTGGGAATGCCCCGGAAGCTGTCTAGATAATCTTCCTCGACTTCTTGGAACCCTTCTCTAAATCTGAGAGGGGGGGGGGGGGAAGAAAGCGCAAATAAGGAACTCAAAACATAGCTCCGAGAGTTGAGCCCACAATAACTGGCGTACAATGAATAATCATTTGGTTGCGAGTAAACGTCTACAATAGAATTGGGAAGGATCTGAACCCATATAAGCAGCGGTGAATGTTATTTGCAAGTGCATATAAACCTTCTCTCGAATCATGTAGCAATATACTGGCTCTCAGTTTCTGCCATGACACTAACCATTGGCCACGGACTGGAATGTCTGTCGTGTGGTCGAATGACTGCCGAACAATGTGGTTGGTTTTCAAGCAGCAAGAGGTCGAGACAGACTTGCCTTTAGACCAATCCTGAGTATCGTTAGCATCTTTCAAGACAAGTTTGCCTTCAGAAGTGAGCTCCAACAGTGCCTGATCCTTGACTGGACTGTTCCTATGAGCGGACCATACCATTTGGGGTCGGGGAGGAATAATACCAAATTGATCACCATAACTGGTGTTGAAGATGAGACAGCAAGTTACTGTCTATGCAAAGTAAGATGAGGGAGCGTTTCGCCACGAATTCGGGCCATTTACAAACCATGGATAGGGTATGGTT